TGGAACTCATAGCTTCCTCATATGATTCAGGTTTTGTCTTTTACACCTCTATTCCTACAAGTAAAGCAGTAAAATTAGTTCAACATACAAAAATCTAGTAGGAGGCCTTACTTCTCTCCTTATTCTGTCCATTGCAAGTTGATAATGCTCCAATTGATCATGTTGTGGTTTAGGTACATCTATTGTAGCTTCTTTATCTTTTGATTCAGGACTATTGGATCTTGGTTGAGCTTCTAAGACCTATTCATCTTCAGGTTCAGGTGGTTCAGCCTACAGATCCATAAGCTCCACCTCAAACGGTGTAGTCTCTGTGGAGTGGGTTGTACTTTTAGAGATAATGTGGTTGCCTGCATCATGGTTAGTAGCTTTGCAAGGGAAAACCCCTTCATCAAACACTACATCCCTACATATGATGATTTTTACCCCTGGTGACTCTCTATCCCAAAGTCTATATCCCTTCATCCCTTCTTGATACCCCAAGAACACACACTTTGTAGACCTAGGCTCTAACTTCCCTCTTACTATGTGTGCATAAACTGCACACCCAAACACTTTTAGGCGGCTTAGATCAAGCCTTCTCCCAGCCCACACCTCTTTGAGGCATTTAAAATTTATAGCTGTGGAGGGACTTCTGTTTATCAGGTAGGTTGTGGTGGCCAAGGCCTTTACCCAAAAAGTATTTGGCAATCATGAGGTAAATGAAAAGCATCTTACCATTTCTAAGAGGGTCCGATTCATCCTATCAGCAACCACATTTTGCTGAGGAGTTTTTCTTACTATTCTATGCCTTGAAATGCCTTGCTCACTGCAAAATCTATCAAATTTAGCATTGCATAACTCTAGACCATTGTCAGTTCTTAGGGTTTTCATTCTTTTGTCTAATTGATTTTCTACAATTAACTTCCACTTTATAAACTTGGACAAGGCTTGATCCTTAGTTCTTAGAGGGTAGACCCACACCTTTCTACTATAATCATCCATAATAGACATAAAATAGTTGTTCCCCCCATGGGACCTGACCTTTTCAAAGCCCCAGAGATCATAATGGAGATACTGTAGGCAGCTAGTTACTAGGTGTGTTCCCCTTAGGAAGCTAACCTTATGTTGCTTACCTAAAACACAATTCAAACAAAATTCTAAGGTTGAAACAAACTCTTTACCAAACATTCCATGGTTACTCAAAATGCTTAACCCTTTCTGGCTCATGTGGCCCAATCTAAGGTGCCATTTTTCAGTAACAGACAAGTTTGAGGAGACTAGGGCAGTATTGAAACAATCTGAACAGAAATCACCACATAGGATATATAACCCATTCCTTTTTTTCCCCTTTCAAAATCAAGTTTTGGTTCTTACACACATTTAGCCACCCATTTTCAGCCCTATAGCAACAACTACTTCATCTAAGTTCCTAATGAGATAAGGTTCCTCTTGAGTTCAAGGATAAACCTAACTTTAGTCAGTTTTATCAATTTTCCCCCACTAAGCCTGAGTGCTATACTACCTATGCCTTTTACTCTACAAGCATGGTTGTTCCCCATAAATACAGTCTCACTTTCATAATTTTCGAAGTCTTGAAACCATTCTCTATTTGGGCTCATATGGAATGAGCATCCTGATAATACCCACTCTTCAATACTATCTGATATAGACATTGTAAGGACCTCTGGTTCTTCTACTAAGCTTTCAGTGGAGGCAATATTACTCTCTGTATTTCTCTGTTTGTGTTTCTTAAGCCACTCGTAACTGTTCTTTTTCAGGTGACCAGTTTTGTTACAGAAAAAACATTTCCTAGATTCAAACTTTTATTTATTATTCCATTTACCCCTTTTCTTGCTGGACCCTTGACTAAATTGGTTTCCCTTAGCTAGTTGGCTAGTTTCTGGTGTGCCCCTAACAAATAGGTTACTGCCATTTCGTTTTTGCACTATCAATTCTAGTTTCCTAGCTTTAAGACCTGCTACTATTTGGTCAACACTAGGGATAGTACTAGAAACTGGAGAGCATTCTTGACTACTTGGTAGTCACAAGTTAATGAATTTAGTTATATCATGGCTAAACTGGTTTCCCCTAATTCTTGATCGGTTCCCTTTAAGATGAGAGTCATTTTCAGAAATTTGTCTAGGTTTTCCTCTATGGCCTTATTACTGTCCATTTTATAAGAAAATAGGGCATATTTGAGGAAAACTAAATTGGGAGCAGATTGAAGAGCATACAAAGATTCAAGCTTACATCACAACCCCGGGCGGTTTCGATTCCATCAACCTTCCTCAATACGTTGTCTGGTAGGTTCATCATGATCAGATTATAACCTTCTTCGTCAATCTCCTCCTTCTTCTTTAATTTCTTTTCAGGCCACTTCTTAGGATCCTTTTCCAGTACAAGGCCGACTTTATTGTGAGAAAGAAGGGCCTTCATCTTCTTCTTCCAACTTCCGAAGTCGATCTTCCCATCATATTGGTGATCTCCATTCGAGTGGTGATGTTTGTCATGATAGAGTATTTAGGTTTGTTTTTAGGAATTGATGGACTCAAGAACTCAAGATTGTTCTTGAATTTCAAGATTCGAACAGAATCTTAATTTTCTACCCTTGGTCTAATCGACCCTAATTTACTTGGATATAGGCTCTATGGACACTAATTAGATCAAGAAACCCTATAATTGGTAAAAGTCCCAAATTTCAACAACCCTGAGAAAAGAACTCCTCGGATCTAATTTCCAGAATCCAATTTCCCAAACACTTGTTACCAAAAAAGCTCTGATACCACTGTTATGCTATAATCTGAAAAAATGGCCTAGAACAAACAAACACAATAATAATAAAAAAAAAAGTCACATATTGTGGTTCACTTGCTCTAAATTTGAGCAAGCTACGCCGCGCTGAGCTTCGAAAATGGTGAGCTCGTTGTACTACTATTAATATCGAATCAACAATTTACAACCCTATTCAAGAACAAGATCAAGATCCTCCTCTCATAGTCCTAAAATACAACCCGTAACCTGACTCTAGGGAGACTCTAACCCACTGAATCCCTAGAACAAGAGCTATCCCACTCTTCTTCAAATGATTAACACAAATCACTCAAGAATCACATAAGTTACACTCAAATTTCAGATCAGAATTGCAAACCCTAATAGCAAACACAAAAACAAAGGAGAATGCTTCAAAATAAGACTTGGGGTGTTCCTGAAATTTGTTGCCCTTTTATATCATTGACTTAAAGTAGGAATTCCAGCCGTTGGATTGGTGTTGAATCAACAGTTAGGATCCAGCTCAAAAAACTGACACAAACAGTGACGTTTCACTAATCCTCCGATACGACGATGTTTTTAGCATTCACTTCAACAACAACTATTTTGCTTTATATTTTTTTCTAATATAGTTTTATTAATATTCATTTGAATCTATTTATATATGTCAATATGAAGACAAAAATGTTAGCATATAGAATGAACCCTTTGAATTTGGACATGATTAAATTAAAAAACAAAAAGAAAGCAAACCTCACTAATACCCCTTAGACCTAGTGGTTTGTATTATAGCTGAAGAAATTATGTTTGACAATAGGTATGAGGTGCGACTAACATATGACTTCTGTACTTGATCTAATAAAGTATTGATATATCAATGAATAAAATAATTCAAATATATTCTTCTAATTGCGTTCATGAATAATGTCGTTGTCATTGTTTGTTATAATCCTTAATAATATCCTTCACTTGTAATGAGCACAAAGTCAGAACGAATGAGTAGAGTGGTTGATCATGATTTTTTTTATTCAATTGAGATTAGTTGTCTATTTTTATTTTTATTTAATTGTGTTAATCGTCGATGGTTTCCTATTTAATAGCGTTAATTGTCAATTCTTTTTAATTGATTACCAGTTCAACCGGTATGAAGTTAATTGTTATTTGAAATTCTACCTTTTTATTAATTGTAGGATTCTTCTATATAAATTTGGAAAAGAAATTTTACGTAGGTACGTTATGACATCATAACGTAGTGCATCCCACAATCTTGCCTCAAAATCAGTTACTAAATATGTTTACATTTATAGATTACTTTACAGATTTACTTATCAGGTGGTTATCAACTTTGGTTAATAAAAAATCATAATAACAATTATTTGATCAATTAAATGTTTCCATCAAATATCAATTTATATTCATCAATAAAAAATTTATTTATATTGTACCGAGTTGAATTACGTTACGATTATTTGATTTGTGACCAACTTACAATATTTTGATCGCATGAGTCATGAATTTGGATATGGATAACATAAATACAAAGGTGGGGTGGTATAATTTAATTAGTAAAATTGTTGAACTAACCTCATAAAATTGTAAAATTCATTTATTTCAATAATTGTTTATTTAAATTAATGACAATATTACATTTTTTTAACTACACCTGCCACATTTTCAAGTTCATGAATGATGTCGTTGCATTATTATCTTCATTTGACTTCATGAATGTATTTGAAAATAAACCCTTTGCTCCCATTCCTTAGAAGGAATTAAATTAAATCCCAAGAGATCAAGGTTTCCTCTTATTGAGTTTGATGCTTACAATAACACACTTTTTCTTCTTTCATAATTCCATCTTTGTGATTTAACCAAGTTGTAACCTTTTGTAGGATGGAGTTGTAACATAGATCTTCAAGTGTATATTGAGAGCATCTGATCTTCCCTTTTCAATTCTTATTGTTGGAGTGGAGGTGCCGATTTTACACATGGAAGTAAACATTTAATCGTTCTAAAAGGTATTTTTTGACATTTGTACAGTCATACTCAATTAAATGTCAGAATATATTATTCTATTCTAATATAAAGAAATGAATTACAGGTTGTCGAATGTCATACTAAGCTATCAAATTCCTATTATCCACTAAAAGTCAAATTCCTATTATCCACTAAAAGTCAAACCTTGCCTTTTTCCCATTTAGATCTATTGACTCTTGCTTCAAGAAAACCATTATAAATACCTACCATAACAAAGAACCAGCCCATCAAAAAACCAAATTCATAGCATCAAAATGCACGGCCTTGTTGTAGCGAATACGGTGGTGGCTGCGACGGCTTGTTCGGTGTGGGATATCTATAGCAGCCTTCAAGTCGTCACAATTATAAATACATTTCTGCCAGATGTACTTGGAACAGTAAAAGTCCTTGAAGGTGATGGACAAGTTGGCACACTTCTAAACGTTACATTTCCACTAGGTAAATTAATTCATATTATTTATCAAACATTTCATTTGAGCTACCGAATATTAAATATTAATTCTGCTTTGGTTTTTGTTTTAGGAACTCCTGGAGTTGGTAATATGAAGGAAAAAATTACAAAGGTTAATTATAAGAAGCGTGAGAAGGAAACACAAACCATTGAAGGAGGATTTTTAGCACTGGGCTTCAAACGCTATATAACTCAATACAAAATTATTGAGAATAATTTTACATCAAGTATTATAAGGTCAACAATAAAGTATGAGGTTGATGATAAATTATCAAACCTTGCTTCTATAGTGAACACCAAGCTAGTGGAAACACTAGCAGAAACCGTTGGGAAGTACCTGACTACGAAGAAAGCTTCTCCTTAGAATCTACAAAAGGAATTCGGCTATTGTGTTGTATTCTTTAAGTCTAGTTTATAAGGTTTTCGTATCTGGTTTACAACTTTCATGTTTGAATTTACAAATTGTATGTTGATTTATTTTACTGTAATAAAACTAATATTTGGGGTTATAACTGTGGACAATTATTATGTGAATTTGTGACTACATGGATTTAGTTTATTGCATTTTTGCAACAATTGTTAGAATTAAGCATGATTTGAGTTTAAAATTTTAAAAACTTAAAACCTACAAAATTTAAATATAGGTGTTTGTAGGCTTTAAATTTAAAAGCTTCTTTTGTAGTGCTTGGTTTGTTGTAGCCAAACCTCGTCGTCATCACCGTTAGCATTGACACTATTGTGTACATCATGTCTTAGTAGTACCAACACTGTTACCAGACTTGTTGTCAGAGATGACGTCTGTCCCACCTTCAACGACAGGTTTAATTGGTACAAGTAGTTGGCAGATTTAATTGGTTTCAAGTTTTAAGAGCAAGAAAGCATACGGTGGACATAAAGGTGGAACAAATGGACCGAGTTAGGCAGGTCAACCCTAACCCAACCCGCATTAAAGAGAGTTCTACCCGGACCACCTTATAGGCAGACCGGTTTGAACCCAATGCGCATGCAACCCCCGGGCGGGCCGGGTTGTTATATGGCAACTGGCGAGCCGGTGGGTTGCTGTTTTGTTTTTTCTGAAAGAACCTGCCAACCCGGCAAGTTGGCCAAAAAAAATTAAAAAAATTAAATTTTTTTTTTCAAATACCCATTTTATCTTTGAAATATAGCCGTTTTATAGTAGTTTGAGAGGTCTTTTTCGTCATTTTCATTTCCCTTTTTTTTCTATAAATAAGCCCTAACCTTTCATATTTTCTCACAACTCAAATTCTCTCATTTTCTCTAATCTCTAATTCTATTGAAATCTCTCAATTATTCTTTTTGTTTGTCAATTTGCTCAATTGTTCTCATTTTAATTTTTATTAGTTTTTGCAATTTTCAATTCATATTTCCAAATTCCTATTCTCCTTCTTTAATTTTTGTATTTCTTCTATATCAATTTTTTTTTTTTTTTAACTACAATGGATAGATATTTCTATCCCGTCAATTCCGATGATGAAAGAAACTACTATCCTAGTCCCCCTGAATTTACTAACATAAATGCAATAGATTCAAATAGTCCTGCTTTCACAGTCTTGGAATCTGATACACCTCATAATATTGCCCTGATTGCTCCCCATGTTGCTACAGCTCCCAGTGGTTCTAGAAGTCGTCCTCATCCAACTTCATCTCAAGTTGAAGCGGGTTCATCAACTGCTGTCGAAAGCGAGGACAAACACACATCAGATGTTTGGATGCATTTCGATAAGTTTTACAAGACAAAAAATAGAGTTCAAGTGAATAAAGCAAGATGCAAGTATTGTGGAAATGTTTATAAAGCTAATTCAGGTAATGGTACTAGTACTTTAAAAAGGTATGCTAATAAACATATTGCTCGACATAGAAATAGAGAAACCAATCAAACTCAAAAAACTAATATGGGTACTACTTGGTGTTATAATTCTGATGTATATAGGGAACAATTAGCTTTATATATTGCTACAACTGATCAACCTATTAATATGGCTGAAGATAGATATTTTGAAAGATTTATTAAAAATTCATTTTTTCCAGGATTTAAAAGTTATTCTAAAACTACAACTAGAAATGATTTAATAAAATTGTTTGGGAAAATGAAATTAGAATTAAAAAATAAAATACATAGGTAGCGTTTGGCTTATTATTTCTGCCCATATTCTCAATCCTATTCTCCAAATAATGTTTGGCACATTATTCCAGAAATATTACCCTATTTTTTAATTACTTTTAGACCCCATAAGGTTATTAATTTCATTAAATACCCCCTGAAAAAAATTTAAAAACTAACAAAAACACCCCCGTCGACCCATCCTTGCCAGATTCCGGCAACCACCGTCGGTGGTAGCTGGAATCTGCCAAAACGATGAATTACTAATTGGAACTTGTCAGTAATTCACCAGAAATGGCCGTCGTTGACAGTCAACGATGGTCATATCTTTGGCCGTTGCTGACAGCTAAAGATGGCATTCTTTGGCCTTTTTCGGCTGTGACGGCCACATATGGCCGTAGATCTAGGCTTTTCCGACCAGATCCGTGGTGGATCTGGCCGAAAAAGGCCATAGTGACACCATACCGACCAGATCCGGCCGGTATATGTCGTTACACAATTTTCTGGCCAGGTTCCGACGGTGGTGGCCAGAATCTGGCACTGCGGGTGGTGGGGGTCTTTTGGTCATTTTACAATAGTTTTATATATTGAGATATTTATTAAATTAGCAAACTTAGGGGGTTTTTTTCATAAATTTTTAAATTTTATCTCGTAATACTCCCATATTCAATTATCCAATACTATCCCCAAAATCCTATCCAAAATAATAAACCAAACACACCCATAGTTGTCATGTTAGTGTGGCTCTAATTGCCAATATTTGGAGTGGTAGAGCTAAACAAGATTATATTTTTGTGACTAGTCATTATTTTGATAACGAATGTAAATTAAATAAATCTTTATTAGGATTTAGATTAATGGATGTGGATCATAGTGGTCAACAAATTTATAATAAAATTGTTGAAGTTTTAGAAGATTATGATGTTATCAATAAAGTGATAAGTTTAACTTTAGATAATGCAAGTGCTAATAGTACAGCTATAGATTTTTTTAAAATTAATTATCCTTTTTATGACAATTTGAAGTTGTTTTACCAACGTTGTGCATGTCACATTATTAATTTAATTGCGAAAAGTGGTATGAAAACAATTAAAGATAATATTGATAGAATTATAGAATCTTTAGTTTGGATTACTAGTAGTAATGAAAGAAATGCTGAATTTCAAGATGCTTGTATAAAATCAAATATGTCTCCTAGAACTTTTGTATTAGACATGCCTGTTAGATGGAATAGTACTAATTTAATGCTTGATTCATGTTTACCTTTTACAAATTTAATTAGTTATTTTATAGCAAATAATAGAGATCCTCATTATTTGGTAGAAAATGATTGGCATATAGCATTCTTTTTTAAAATATTTTACCAATCCACTTTACAACTTTCTGGTGTGTATTATCCTTCTAGTCCATTGGTAATACATACAATTATAAAAATTCTCGAGTTATCTACAAAAAACAAAAACAATGAAATTTTAGGGGGACCAATAAAGGCAATGGAATTTTTTTTTTTTTTAAATATTGGAAACCCATTCATTTTCTTTATTGTTTAAGTGCTATATTTGATCCTAGAATTAAATTAGCAGGTTTAGAAAATGGTTTAGACACATTAACTGAAAATTTACAAAACGAAACATATACCAATCAACTAGGAGAGGTAAAAAATTGTCTTGCAGATGTATATTTCCAATATAAAAACAGGTATGAGAACCTGCAAAGAGGCGAAATATCTAGGGAAGTTGCATCAGAAGAAACAAATTAAGACTTCTACTCCTGGAGTGCACTTAATAGGCCGAAAAGGACCCGAATCTGAAGCACATCCTCCTCTTCAGAAGCACCACCAACAACACCAACTAATATAATATCCTCCATGCAGTCACAGAGTAATGAGCTTCAACAATATTTGGCAACCTCCAAAATGTTACCAGTAGATCCACAACAAAGAGCCAACTTTGATGTCTTAGAATATTGGAAAAGCAGAAAATGTATTTTTCCGGTATTATCAAGACTTGCCTTTGATTTTTTTGCTGTTCCTATCTCAACCATCTCATCTGAACAAACATTTAGTACAAATGGAAGAATTTTAAATGAAAGGAGGACTAAATTTTCATAAAAAATGATTGAAGTCCTCACATGTCTTCGAGATTGGGAACGGTCGCGCCATCAAGATCAATACGAGGTTGTTGATGATACTGTAATAGAATCATTTTCAATTTTGTAATGTAGATGATACGGATGAGGGAGGTCCTAGTCAACCACTCCCAAATTACTTGTTTTGTAAATTGTAACTTGTAAATTAATTGTCAATTATTGTACTCTTTTTTCTTTATCAAGTTTTTGTCCCATTGGGTTTTTCTTGGTGAGGTTTTTAACGAGGCAATAATTATAGTAATTTCTTATTTTATTTTTTTATAAATGAATAAATCTAATTTTTCTTATGTTACAATTGTATTGTATTAAAATTGAATTAATATTTAAAATGTTAACAAAAAAAATTAATTTAATTTAATTATTGATATTTGAAAAGTTAACTAGAAAATAAAAAATAAAAAGGGGGGGGGGGGGGGGTAACATGGCCCGACCCTCAGCCTAACCCAGCGGGTTAGGGTTGGCAGGCCGGATTGGGCTAGCCAATCCTAACAAGTGGCGGGCCTAACCTGCCTTTGTTGGCGGGTTAGGCCTACCAAAACAAGTAACCCACCGCGGGCCGAGCGTGTTACTTTTCCAACATTAGGTGGATGCAAACATTTCGAGCTCACTGGTTTGCCTTGTAAATGTCTATATTAAGAGTTTTTAATAAACTCGTAATAGATGAAAATTCACCTCTATTCATTTTAAAAAAGATGGATGGAAGAGGTTAACTCTTTTACGATAATGGATGATATCTTTACAAGAGTAAAGTAGAGCGCTCAAAAGCATTAAGACTTAGTAAATATCAAAATCGATGTGATGTACCCTATACATAAAATTCTGGGTCTGTGCTAGTTAGAGCCCTCAAGTACTTGACGCTAACAAGGGAAAATATTTCCTTCTTAGAAAATAAACTCAACAAATTTTGTAAACACAAACTGCAGCAACTCTCTTTCACAAACTTTTTCTCACAATTCTAACGTGACAACTTGTAATTGATCAGCTCACAATTAATTAGTGAGACCTATGTGAGACCTGTTGTGACAACTGCTGTAAGCTAATACAATGTATGCATAATAACAATAGAAAATGGGGCCCAAAAACTTTCTTTTCATTATAAGTCATATGTCTTTTATACACAAAGAGTATTGTTTACAAAAAGTCATTTTTTAAAAGACAAAATAGGGGAAACAGTGTAGCTATTGCTCCTCGCTCGCCGACGCCCCTCCGACTGCATCAACACCTAGATC